TACTATTACTACTTTTATTATTATTATTATTATTATTATTTCTGTTGTTTCTAGAAGTAGGAATTTTGATCATAGTCAATAGAAAAAATATAACCACACACATTTTGACGGAGATCTGACACCAGTCAGCTGCGCACAATTTCAAGATCATTTGCGATTTATAAACGTCACATCTGGAATAGAGGCGTAGCCTACGCACGTGTTTTTGTGCGCACGTTCGTTTTCTCTGAACCGCACTTATGCACTTTTGAGAAATTATCTTAGAACAAATTTAGGACGGTTTATACGCAACATTTTATAAATGAGGCCCACGGTGACGTAAATGTACGTAGTTTATTTTGCAACTTTGGAGCCCCCAAGAGTTAAGTGGAAGTCCCACCTTTTTGTGCACGTTAAACATACTCCCAGAACCGACAGACGTTTAAGTGGGAGCGTGGATAAGAAACAGAAGCCATTCGCTTTATTAGAATTCAGTGAAACATTAGAATGATTTTGAAACTGATATTTCAAGGTTAAAAAACCCTACAAACAGTTGCTTTAAAAGCGCAGTTTTTGTCCTCTGTTGCTGAACACTTTCACTTTTTTAATAAAGTAATCATGTCAAATTAATTATGACTGCCATATTGGCCTGCACAAGATAAATAATGCACTATTTAACAAGTATTACATTCCTCTAGGTGTCAGCATCAGCAGCTGAAAGAAAAGCTCAATAATGAGCCTACACATATTATATTACATAAACACATAGGTTCATTCTCTATGTTCAACCAGTCCTGGCACACATTTGCTTTAAAATGTTAAAGCAGCTCAGTGACCTGAGTAAAGTCTTCTGGACATTTATTGCTCACAACATGGTACCCGTGGCCACACTTCCTCAGGATCTCCTGCAAAGGTTCACCGTTCTTTTGAATGTGCATTTCAATACTCCTGCCTCTTAACTCATCGCCCCACGTGAAGAGCACCAGAGTGTGTGACCACACCATGTCCCCAAGAACACCCAGATATTTCTCCATAGCACGTGCGTCCCGCTTGCTGAAAGAGTCCACTGGGACAACGAGGAGAAATATGTGATATCCAGGAGGGGCCAATATCACACTGCGCAGGATCTCCTGTTTCACCAGTCTGGTGTCAGCCAAGCCGAAGAGACTCCAGCCCGGAGTGTCCACTACAGCAAGCCTCACGCCGTCCACCCAGCCGAATCTCCTCACACACCGAGTCGTCTTCTTCCCGGGCTCAAACTCACTGCGTCCGAGGATGAGGTCTCCCACTGAGCTCTTACCAGCATGTCTTCGACCCAGCAACACAAGTCCCATCAGAGAACCACCCTCTGGATCGACTAGAAGACAGAAAAGTCAAATCAAAGGTAAGGTACATTCAGATGCTCACAATAAGCAGATCAAATTAATATGAATGAAAGTAGCATAATTTCCTGTTTCTGTCTTAAGGCTTTATTTTTTAACCACACCTACCTTGTCAAGTCATATAACACACTGATCGAGTTCAAATATATCTTAAGTGTCCATCAACTTACCATATGCTGTCTCAGTGCTCACTGCCATTCTTCAGTCCTTCACCCCAGTAAGAACTTAATTCCATTTAACACGCAGTGTTTTCAAAGTTTCAAAGTTCACTTCTCAGTTCTGTATTAAGTCATTTAGAGTGTGACGTACATGTTATGACAGGGAAGTATCAGTCGGGTCAGTTTAGTTATAGAAATATTATAGCCTATAAGGATTCAGAAGGCTGTGTGGTAACTTCCACAGATGAGGTACAAACTTGGGTCCCATCACTTTTTTTGTAAAGCAATAAAGGCACAAATTGTGTTCTTTAGAGCTACAGTTATTAGATAAGTTGTATAAGCTTTTATCTAATATAAAAGTAACTTAGCATGGTAAGTTAATAGATTTCTCTCACATACCTTAAAAATATTGATTTTGGTCTGCCCCACCTCAGAGGTCTCGACCTTATTGACTGTATTCAACAATTACAGCAGTCATAATTTTGACTTTAATCTGTTCAAATGACGTTCAAATCATTGTAGAAGAAATATGAAGATTTCTATTACTAGAAACTATATTTAGCTGTGCCTCACATTTTGTGCACAACAGATTACTGCATGATTTTCATAAAATTCTGACTTCGAAAGTAAAGTTACTTGGATATTACAACATGGACAGAAGACAAGTAAATAACGTCATTCCCTTTTTTACCAGTCTTGTTATTTTTAAAGGGGTCATATGATGCGATTTCAAGTTTTCCTTTCTCTTTGGAGTGTTACAAGCTCTTGGTGCATAGAGCTGTAATGTTGCAAAGACTAAAGTCTCAAATCCAAAGCGATATTCTTTATAAAAGTTAAGAGTCAGCCACACCTACCTAAAACGGCTCGTTCTAACACGCCCCCACATATCTACATCACAATGTGGGAAGATTTGCATAACGCCGCCCAAATGTTCACGCAAAGAAAGAAGGCGTAACTTTTATTCTCGCTGTAGTTTTGTTGTTGATTTGCCATGTCGTAAAGATGCTGTGTGCTTCGTTGTGAAAGCGAAACTACTTTGTTTGGTCTTTCAAAAGAGAACGATATCTGCTTCGTCATTCCTGGAGTTGATCTGTGCTGGTTGCTGAGGAAATACATCAACTTTGCGCTGTGGATCGCCGGATCGGCTTTTACCGTGGACGAAGCCGGAGTCTAGCCCGGGGTCGTCACATGTCCTTCCGGACGCTACGCGTAAAAAGACAGTATAAGTCATTATAATCCATAATTATGTCCCCACTGGATGCAACGAATGCCTCGTTTATAATGGGTTTTCATGTTTTTGAATCATCGCTCCGGCCTGACGGCATCATCACAATATGGTGAGGGGCGTAACATTTCCGTCTCACACTTGAGGTATTCGGCCAATCACAACGCACTGGATAGCTGGCCAATCACAGCACACCTCGCTTTTTTAGACCGATGAGCTTTGTAAAAATCGACGCGTTTCAGAAAGGCGGGGCATAGAGGAGAAACAATAATGTACAGTATGTGGAAAATAATGTGTTTTTTGAACCTTAAACCGCATAAACACATTTCATTACACCAAATACACAAAATAATGTTCTTTTTAGCAGCATCATATGACCCCTTTAACTAAACTAAAATCTTTTTTTTAATTGAAATAAAGCTGAAATAAAATATACAAATTAGATGGGAAAACTTAACAAAATAAAAGAAAATAAACTAAAAGTTACTAAAAATGAATACTAAACTTATTAAAACTAAACCTGAAATTAATATTAATAAAACAAAATTTAATACAAATGAAAAGCACAAATTAACAAAATGACTAAAACTTAAAATTTAGAATGAAAACTAAAAACAATAAAGATCATTCTGAATATTAGTATACCATAAATGTATAAATAATATTAAAACACTGGTATTCACATAAACTGAAGCGTGTACTGTATTTGTCTGCAACCATTCCAAGCCATTACCCAAATTATTTAAAGAATAAATTATCAAAACAAAAAATTTAATTATAAGAGATGTATATTTAACCGTAAATACAAGGCTGAATTCACAACCCTGTTACCCATTATATAAATATATATATATATATATATATATATATAAAAAACACAGGGTGTCCTAAGTTTTGGTAACAGGGTTATAAAAATGGCAAACAAAACAGTTTTCATATAATATTTAATAGCAAATAAACATTTTTCAAGCCCTATTTTGTAATCTTTTCTTTCATATGCCGCTGGTCATATGAATTGAAAAGCAAAGACAAAACACAATCTCATGAGAGGATTGTAACAGTTCATTCTTCTAAAATGTATTCATACATATATATTTTTACGTTGACTGCCACTGTGTGACTCGTATCACATTGTCTCCTGACCTGTAAGCATAAATAGATGCCGTTCTCTTACCTCTGTTAAATTAACTGACAACAGTAATGGGTCATTTTCAGCACCACTGTATATAGTACATTCTGTATATTGCATCATATATAAAAATATACAGATTTTCTTTTGCAAAACATTCTTTCCATATTGTTCAATGGCATGAAATCAAGGATCCATATACTGTCAGCATCATCTCTCCTCCCATCCTCTTATTCCATTCACAGCATTTCAAAGATCAGTAGCAGCCAAACTGAATAAAAGTCGTGCCACACACCGTTCTCTCACCACCACAGACTTTCACAACATTCTCCCGTGACTCCCTCAGGAAGTTGAGAAGAAAGTGGAGGTGAGAACAAAGCATACACAGAAAAGATGATGGGTGGGGGTGAATGGGACGAAAGATGGTGGAAGAGGTAATGAAAAGAACAAGGTGTACTGTAACAGGCCTGAACAGTGCAATTTCTTTAACTCCTCAACAGCCTGCTAGGGGGCACCTCAAACCGGTTCATCTCCCAGGATATCTGGAAGGACATGTACTTAAAAAATCATGAAGAAGATCCAAAACAAAAATCAAGTGAAAAAGTTTTTAATATTGAGGCGTTCTTGATCAAGAGGAAGGTGCATTGGGATGAGAGTTTGGTTGCAGTGCATAGAGAGACATCTGAGACGGAGCCACTTGGGTTAGTGCCTGATGACGAGATGCCCTGACACACACACGTACACACAGAGGCACGAGGACCCAGTATCCCCTCACTGCAGAACACAAGATCCAGGGGGCGTAGTTGGATCCACATCTAGGGGGTGGAGATGGGTGGGTTTAGGGATCAGGGGGTGGAGACGGGTAGGTTTAGGTATATGTAAGGTGGGAGGAGTTGGATCTGGATCCAACCTCGCCACCTGGATCTTGTGTTCTGCAGTGAGGACCATCTCCGAGGACCTCTTTAACACAGTGGAGTGTGAGAGGGCATTGTGTGCTCTTCTCCCGGTGGCCAGCAGAGAGCGATGTTCATCCTGCATTACAGCCCAGAGGAAGCAGCATAGTGTGTAATGTGTCTTCAGCCCAAAGGCTTCGAGTCCTGCACTTTATCTCTGTCCACAGTCCGTCTTCAGAGTCCCGCCTGCTCATAGAACAACACATAGGCGTCACTACTGCGAACTTGGCTGGCGGACATTGGCGTGACTCTGGAAGAAGAAATCCACACTCATAATTTGTTGACAATCAAATCTGGGATTAAAAATCTAACTGAAAATATAGTTTTAACATTTCAAAAAAATGTAACATGATAAAAAAAAGAATGAATAAGAAAAATTCAAGAATCTGCATTTCTAGGGGCAGATGATCAGGTGTTCATGAAGCTCAAGATGCTCTTTTGATCATTCTCAAATCATGCTGGAGAATACTAAGAAATTCTGCTAATTTTCTATTCAACATAAACTCAAATTTTGATGCTTTTAATATAATTTGTAATAAATAGTATTACATTAATATAACAATTAAAATGGTGAAATATCATCAAATTGTTCAGCCAATATAGTATAAAGAAGAATGTGTGTGTGTGTGAGATTAGCAGCGTTGAAGATGTGAGACAGGAAGCATTTTTAAGGAAGCGTGGGTGGCTGGGAGGGAGGTGAAGGAGCATGAGTGAGATAGGAGGTGGAGGATGGGATACAGGAAAATCACTGCTCTTTTGATCATTCTGAAATCATGCTGGAGAATACTAAGAAATTCTGCTAATTTTCTATTCAACATAAACTCAAATTTTGATGCTTTTAATATCATTTGTAATAAATAGTATTACATTAATATAACAATTAAAATGGTGAAATATCATCAAATTGTTCAGCCAATATAGTATAAAGAAGAATGTGTGTGTGTGTGAGATTAGCAGCGTTGAAGATGTGAGACAGGAAGCATTTTTAAGGAAGCGTGGGTGGCTGGGAGGGAGGTGAAGGAGCATGAGTGAGATAGGAGGTGGAGGATGGGATACAGGAAAATCACAGCAGTTAACAGGTGGAATGGAGCTCTGCTGACATGTTAACTGTCAGGATCACTTCCCTGAAAGCTAATGTCTCTACACAGTCATGCAAAAGGAAAGAAAGAGCAGGAGGGGAAGTAAAGCAAGTACCTAGAGTCGTTATACGTGTACCACTCCCCATTTTCAGGATTGCAACAGTACGCTGTGTAGTGGCCTCCCATAGTTGTGCCTGAGTGATTGGACACTGCATACAAGTTATATACTGCACTACCTGAAACAGAAAAATACATAAATAGTCAGGCTGGACCTAAATGCAAGATACAGTAGTTTAATTATATTAAACGTTAAATTATAACCAGGCCCAAAATACATCAGGACTCTTATTTTGAAATGTGTTTTATTACTTCTAGCTGGTCTTTCAAAAAGATGAGGGAGATCAAATATGTACTTTTACAACATCACCACCCATTACAATGTAAACACCATAAAGTAAACATTTTCATAATTCATTAACAGTACATGACTAAGCAATCACTCGGTATAAATGCATGGTGTTATATGACAGTGAACTGCCCTGAAACCGCAAGCATGTAGAACGTGCAAAAGCACCACATTTCTACTTTTAATATTTACAAGGAGCCGCTTCTCAACAATTACTGCATCTCTATACCCAAATTCAAGACCACCTAAAATTACATTTAAAACTTCCGCTGTACAATTGAATCAAATAATTTTTAAAATCTATTTATAAAATGAAAACCATTATTTATTTAAAACAAAACTCCTAGACCCTTACTGCTACAGGATATGATAATCACATTCTAGACCAGTGGCCGGTTGCATAAATTGCTTAGACTAGTCTTAAAAAGTTAGCCATCTAATTTATTTTCTTCTATTCTGGTCATAACTGTTTAAAGTCAGTTACTAAAATGTAGATTGGCCCAATTTTAATCAGAAAAGTGAGACTGATTATCTCTTGGCTAACTGCTAATTGGTCAAACTAGTTCTTAAGACACAGTCTTAACATAGTGTCTATGTTTATGCAACTGGTCCCTGGTCTTCAACTAAAATTGCTTGAGGTCCAGTAATGAACCCTCCTCACCAGCTGAGGTCCGGACAGTTATACCGTATTGGCCCGAATATAAGACAACCCTGATTATAAGACGACCCCCCTTTTTCCAGATGTACCTTCTGGAAAAAGGTTTGTTAAAAAACAAATCTTGCTTTTTCTCAGTAAAACACATTTTGTCTTCAATTATTTTCATATTGCATATTTTTCCTATTTTAATTTTTGTTTTGAAAGTATGGTAAAAACTG